ATTATAGACTATGTTATAACTGTATGTAGGAAAACCTTAGTGCACTTTTTTCTCTGAACCAATGGCTGCTTTTGAATCCTGTGGAGTGTCCTGGAGGCTGTATGTCAGGAAGCTTAAAGAAATCAGTGAAACATAATTTGGGTTCAGAATAAAAGGCACATTTTGCTTAAATCCTATATATATAGGTTGATTCTTCTTTTCTTTCTTCCTTCTATCTGCTTTTTTCATCATTGAAGTAACTGATTTTCATTTTAACGTACCCAAAATTGGTGGCAACTGAGGGACTCTCATAAAATATGTACATGCAATCAAATCCTCACCTTGTAGGATGCTATGGAAAAATAATACGAGGGATATTTCAAGGGAATATTTTTCCCTATAAATTTCTCTCCTGCTAATTTCAAGATCATGATCAGAGGTGGTATTCAGCAGGTTCTGACCAGTTCTGGAGAACTGATAGGGGAAATTTTGAGTAGTTGAGAGAACCGGCAAATACCACCTCTGACAAGATTTTACAGTCTCTTTCCCCTGCCAGGCCCACCAAGCCATGCCCACAGAACCGGTAGTAAAAATTTTTGAATCCCACCACTGATCATGATGGCAGGGCACCTACATAAGTCTAAACAAGGTTGCCCTAAGCTGATCCCCAAGAGAGTATTGGAAGAGATTTGGGAAGAATTTGACTGACCCCCTTATTAAATGTGGGGAAACCCCCTTGCTTAAAACATAGTTTAATACAATTTAATAGATTTGTTTAATTGGGAATAAAGACCCTTAACTAAAACTCTTTTCAAAATATGTAATTGTTGCCCTATTTCAGTATTTTTGCACAATAAACTTTTTGTTAAGAAGGTAGTGTCACCCTTTTATTTATTTGATCAGTCAATTTAACCAGCGAATAACTAGATGGTGAATTGTATCATTCATTGTACAAATAAAAATAGTTGCATCTATAAACATTAAAATATACAGCTGAAAGAAATACAACAACCCTAACACTAACACTGCCAGGTGATGGGTCCACCCATACTTTTAACAGCAGGTTGTTTTATTTTAAAAGTGAGAAACAATTGGCCTTATGCAGAAAATGAAAAAAAAATCTTTTGTTCCATGTACATAACATACAGTTTTTCTTCTAGCTGTTGAATGGAGCAGAGTCAAATCCAGAAATTTGGCTGAGAAAAAAAAATCTAGAATATGAGAGTGTTCTGGATTTTGGCTGATAAATTTTTAAAGTAATGTTGTAGGGCAAATAATGCAAGAATAGAAATGTTTGCCCACCCCACTCCCTGTCCCATTTCTGTATGGCTCATTTCTTCTCTTTTTATTGGCTTGCACCATCACAAACCATGGCTTATCCACCCCCTTCTTAACAGCTCTGCCAACATGCCAGAAAACCTCTGCCCAGAGCAAGTGCCTCTGAGTAGGCTTCATGTGAGCCTCTACTCAGTACCCAGATCAAACTCGAGTGTCTTAGTCATGTCTGAATAAAGCATATATTACAATCTGGGTGCACAACAACACAAACAAACTGTTCAACTTATGGGACAGTCTATGAACAAAATGTTTTCAATAAACATAGACTTGATTAACATAAAAAAATCAATAATTTCAAGAAAATTTAATCCTTAATGTGTTTGACCCAAGTACATGCAAATACGATGAAATGCTTTTATCATAGCTTGAGGATGAAAGCAAATGTGCATACCTAGTTATTAAAATATGAAATAAGCCTTAATGGCTTAAAGGATTTTGTAGATATAAATCTTGATAATTATTCCTGTTCCACCCAGAATTGCTAAAGCTGCATTTAACTGTTTAGAGAGGGCTGTAAAACACTGTGAAGTGGTATATAGGTCTAAGTGCTGTTACTATTTTAAAAAGAACAAGAAAAATTGTTTACAGTCCGGATCCAAAATCATGGGTATCCAACATTTTGGCTTGCCTGGGCCGTCTTGACTGAAGAAGAATTATCTTGGGCCATGTGTGTGTGTGTGTGGGTGCGTGTGTGTAAATTGGGATGCAGAAGGCTTGACACTGGCAACATCTTTATCGATTGATAGTAGACCTTCCAAAGAACTATTAAGGAATATGCTCGCTATATGGAACATTCTCAACAAAACACATAGTTCTGTATGTATATGTAACAGTATACTGTAAAACACAATTTGTTACTCATTTTCTAATTTTACACATTAAAAACTGGTTGAATCTAACATGAATACATATTTATTGTATCAGTTTTAAGGTATTTGGCTTTTGATGGAAATACTTGTTTTAATGCATATAGGTCCCTGTAACAGTTTGCAATTTAATCCCCTTACTAACAAATTAGTAGCATATCTTTGTACAGATTGCAGCTTTCCTCATTTCCAGTAATTTGACATAGTCTTGTCTGGAAGCCAGTAAACCTTGGGGACATCAATTTGTGCAAGGCTGGTTTAAAATGTTAGCATTTGCAAAGGCAGCTAAAAGAGGTTTGGGTGAAAAAGAAATGAACTGCTGCAAAGAAATTGTGAAAGAGAAATTTAGTTTTTCATAGGTAGCGGTATTTTGGTGCAGAGAAGGACTGAGTATTATTGCATTGCATGTGATGAACAACATAGTTACAGATGCATAGCTGCCCCCCCCACCGCCATTTTATTCACTTATCACCACCCCCATTTTAAGATCTTTAAAACTCCTTTAACAATTGTTCATCATTAAAAAATTAAGTCTAAACAGAGGTACAAAATATAATAAAAATTACAAGAAATGACATTACACTACAGGTAGTCTTTGACATACAACAGTTCATTTAGTGACCCTTCAAAGTTATGACGGCACTGATTGTGACTTACGATCATTTTTCACAGTTACGACCTTTGCAGCATCCCCATGGTCATGTGATCAAAATTCAGATACTGGGCAACTGGTTCATGTTTATGACCGTTGTCGTGTCTTGGTCATTGTCATGAGATCACATTGTGCGACCCCTTTTGACAAGAAAGTCAATGGGAAAAATTGGATTCAGTGAACAACCATGATACTAAACCACAGCAATGTTTCACTTAACGATTGTGGCAAGAAAGATCGTAAAATGGGGCAAAACTCACTTAACAAATGTCTCACTTAACAACATAAATTTTGGGCTCAATTGTGGTTGTAAGTCAAGGACTACCTATACTATTGCAACTTGCAGAGCCATAAAATACTTTTTATGTGTCATTCCTGAATTTTTTTGCTAGCTTTCCTGCTTTCTCCAGAAAATTTCACCGCTGTATGTCTATGAAAGGCTCTAATTATAACCATAGTGACAGCCTAATATCACACAGAATATTAACTTTCTTTTGTTTGATTTGATAGACTACTCTAATCTCATCACTGGCCTCTAGTGTTCCTTTACATAATGACATGTTAGTGCATTCTAATTTCTGGAATAGGAAAATTTGTATTGACAATACAGTAAAAGGTTATATAATCCCAGTTAATATTTGCAATGGAGAAAGACTTCTTTGCTAAAAAGTGTCCAGGGAAGCCATTATAGTGAGGTCTAAGTTAAAAAGATGTTCGTTGTTAGCAATGAAGAAATCATTGGATTGGCAAAAAGTAGTAAATCATACTGTGTGGCAAAACTGACTTACTTACAACCATTATGGCATCCCCATGGTCATGTGATTAAATTCAGATGTTTGACAACTGACTCTTATGACAATTGCAATGTCTTGGTCATTGTCATGAAATCACCATTTGCGACCTACTGTGTCAATGGGGAAACTGGATTCATTTAACAACCGTGTTACTAATTTAAGAACTGCAGTGATTCCCTTAACAATTGTGGCAGGAAAAGTCGTAAATGGCGCAAAACACACTTAACAACTGTCTGTCCTAGCAACAAAAATATTGGGCTCAATGGTGGTCCTAAGTCGAGAACAACCTGCATAGGAGTGATTTACCATTATTTTCATATGAAATGATGCTATTGAACAAAATCTGTTTTCAGTATTTTTATATATTGCTGCTATGTATTTTTTATTATATTCTTTCAAAATATATAATAAAAATAGGAAACCATTCAAATTAGTATTAATTGATTAAAAGATTCTTGATTTGTTTGGACTGAACTGAATGGTTGCTTGAATTAAAAAAAAAACCAGTTCAGCTCATAGATTCATTTGAATCTCTGAATCAAATCACTGCATCAAATATTCCCACAGCTATGCTTTATGCAGCAGAAAGCAGGAATCTTATACTGAATTTATACTCCATTCTATAAAAAATGAGTTCCCTTAAGCTTTTGCATTCTGCTTTCTAGATTTTTTTCCTGTTTTATTTTTAATAAGCATACTTCTTTAAGCTAAATTTTGTGCCTCAGAAAATAGAGAAATATTTAATATAGGTAGTTATAATTACTTGGTTGCATAACTGTGGTGGAATAGATGATTACCAGAAAATATTACACTCAATACTGTATTTTTCTCATTCACATTCTCATTAAGAGAAATATATAAGCCTTTTCCTGCAATCCAATACAGCACAAGTCAGGGAATCCCCAGTAAGTTTATTAGCATAATTTTCAATTTCCAGTAACAATTACTTCTTTTTCTTTCTGTTATTAAATAACATGTACCTTTATCTGACATTCATTTTCCTTTGTTCATTCAAGACTTGAGGGATATAATCACGTGAATATTATTACATTGTCTTGCAATTCCTGTTTATTTTCAGTATTTATTACCTTCTTTCAATATTTTGAAGCTTCTCTGTTATTAAGGCAGGGATGAGCAACTTATGTAATTGCAGTTACAGTACTCAGAGTACTTCCAATACTTCACTGGAAGCAAAAAATGTCAGCACATGATCTCTTCCTAGTCTAAGACTTACTATTTTGTGTATGGTGGTTAGCTGCTTCTTATTATATACAAATTAACAGACAGAAGCTCATTTCATTACCTGTCTTTAAACTAGGGGTGTCAAACTCGTGTCGTCATGTGATGTGATGTATCACAACTTTTTTCTCCTTTGCTAAATTGGGGGTGGGGGTGACCAGCATATGACCCATCCGGACTGTGGGCCGCAAGTTTGACACCCTTACTTTAAACAGACAACCTCATTCTTCATGCCTGGAAAAGCTTAACTTCCCCAGTTTCTATATGTCAGGCTTCCGATAGTAGCACAGAGGAGTTAGTAATAAGTGTTGAGAACCTATGCCAGAAGTGATACATAGAGCAATGCAATATTAGAAGAGACGCTTTGAATAATGTAGTCTCTATCTGAGTTTTTTTAGAGTCAGATATCTTTCCCCAGGATCATGCTTCTGTTCTCTGCAGTGGATCTGTGGAAAAACATGACTGCTTTAGAGTTGCCAGTAACTGCTCCATTTGCAAACTTGCTTGAAACAGCTCTTTGGACTTAAATCCAAAAGACTGCACAGCTCTAATTATAAATACCCTTAGAAAAGAAATTGTGATGTTTCTGCATATCTGTTATATTTAAATGGTTTTATTATACCTTCACCTGGAAATATTTTGCTAGGAAACCATAAATTTGGAATTATAATTCCTTTTGAAGTCAATGGGCTTACTCAAAACTGCAATCATGCATAGATTGTTATAGCAGTAGAACAAAACTTCTAAAGCCAGTGACTTATAAAAGCTCTTCATGTATTTGCTTGAATGCATAAGGGCTTGAAAATAGCTAGAAAAGAGGGTTATGTACCCAGCCTTGCAACTTCCACATGTTCAGCTGGAAAATCTGAGAAGGGGTTCCATTTTCAACTAGCTGAACTGAAGTACAGTGCTCTATACATCCAGGCTTGTGCTTGTCTTCAAAGCAAATACAAGTCCAACCTTTCATAAGACCCCAAAGCTGAATGTTAGACATTTGAGAGAATAAGGAGAGGGATAGAATGCACATCTTGTTCTCCACCTACTTGTAAACCTTTGTAAAACTAGAAGAACACTCGCTTGTTCTTTTCTTGGTGCATCTGGAAACTTCATCAAAACATTTTCCAAGAATTACTTAAGGATGCTTTGATGACTTTTAAAGGATCTCTTGGTTTCTAGGACTGATAAAAACAATGTAGTCTAAGAAAATAAATGTTCAGTCAATCAGACAAAAACCCTTTGGAGGCCCACATAAGAACTTGAAGGTAAATGTTTTCCATATTTTAGCAACTGATAATTAGTGTCATTAAATAGTGGTGTTTTCCACTGCTATTGTGGCTCTGCTCCCTGAATCTGTCTTGAAAATCTCCAAGCCAATATTCATTGCCACATTTTGTTACAATGAATTCTACATGTCAGGTATGCTTCATATTAAAAATGCTTTCCTCATTATGTCAGAACTGGGCAGATTATCGCTTTCCAATTAATCTCAAACTACCCTCATGTTTTGTAACTGAAACTGATACCTATGTGAAACAATCAACCTGAATTGAAATGGACATCTTGTCATTCACAGAAACTGTTCTCTGTACTGCCTTTCCAGCAAACAAATCTGGTTATACAAGGGATATCTGGTGAATATACTGTATCATATACGTCTGAGAGCCAGTTTGGGGTAGTGGTTAAGGCACCAGGTGGCATCAGGCTAAAAACTGGAAAACTGGGAATTCTAGTTCAGCCTTGCCACACAGCCAGCTGGGTGACCCTGGGTCAGTCACTCCCTCTCAACCCTGGAACGCAGGAAATGGCAAAACATTTCAGAAAACTTGCTAAGGAAAACTGTCAGGATTTGTCCAGGCAATTGCCAAGAATCAATACTGACTTGAAGGCACACCTACACAGATCAGGCTTTAGAACTGAACTGAGAAATGTTACAGTAACAAAGTAGTAAAAATGACCACGTAAAAATGTAAGACTAAAGTATATAAAATCTATTCTCTTCTTTGTTTTATTACTCCTAATTTTCATACTGAGAATCTTGTGCATGTATTCAAGAGAGCTGAGTAATGCAAAATCTGGAGACTCGACCCTTTCCCGTTGGTGTTCCATATAATATTGAGAAAGAGAATATTATGCATTGAAAAAATAGGTTACTGTTATTCTTCAAAATGGGGTGGGTAAGGGGGATCACGATTGTAGGACCTGTACATATACACTACATTAATCAGGAGCAGTTGGTAAACTTTTTGTTTTACAACCCCCTGATCAAATCACAATAAAAAGGGCACATACATAAGATATAATATATATCGATCATAAATATTCTTGTCAGATGTATGATATGAAGCAAGCCTCTAGCTTGTTATCCTATTGCATGGTGCTAGTATGCTCAGTATGCTTTCCTATGTGGGGTAGAGAGTTACTCCTTCGTGTAATTGTTTCTTCCTTAAATGTGGTGATTTATCTTACTATCAAAGGATATCAGTGGTACATCACTTGGGAGTTCTAGGCAGGTGTCATTGCAATTATTCACAAAATATGGTGTGCCCCAGCTCTAATTAGACTTTGAAAAAACTAGTTCTGGCCAGTGACATCAGGAATGGTAGGGCCATAGAAGATACCTGCTAACTCTGGGATTATTGCTTCGTTAAGTGGTACCTTGCTGGAGTCAGTTCAGATCAAGTGTCTAGTCTAGCAACATCTGTGCTTTTTGTTTTACTTAGGACTGAGAACATTTGTGCATATCCAGGTATATGAACTTCTGGTATATCTTGTTACTTCCCACCCATTCCCTGCCCACAAATATAAATAAACAAAGTCCCAAACAACTTGGGTTATTTTGCTTTTGCAGCTCATAAAGAAATAGAAATTGTTCCTATTTTTACATTATTGGTTTAAACTTTGACAAACACACACTGACAGGGCCATTCAAGTATCATACAACAGCAGTAACTGCACACCTTTCAGACTAATTTAGTTGCATCTTCATTCTTCTTCTTCCATACCATGTTATGTAAGCAATTCAAGTGAAAGCATTGGAAAATTAACATGAAGATTTTGGATCCCTGTCAGATATTCTAAACAATGCTATTAACTTATTGGACCAAATAATTTTCCAAATTTCAACTTACTTGTGGTAAATCATTAGAGAAATATATTAGACTGTGGTTCTCAACCTTTTCTTCACTACTGACTCTTTTAAATACATTTTATAGTCACATACCATGGCCATGGACCCCCAAGACTTAACTCAAGATTTAAATAATAAAACATCTGCGGACCACAGATTGAGAACCATTATGTTAGACTATGATAAGGAGGACAATGATTGTTTTTGTTGTGGATCAAATATAAAGCAATTGTTTGCCATTAAAAAAATCTTCTTACATGGTATGATCAAGACAAATTTAAGTGCACACTTACCTGGAAATAAAGACCATTAAACTCAATCAAAGCTGCAATTTTATGTATGCTTGTTTAAAAAGAAGTTCCCTTAAGCCCAGTGGTGCTTATTTTTAAAGAGGCATTAGAGAAATGAAACTATCAAAATACAATCCAGAAATATTAAGGTCAGCAGAAATTTTGGATAGGGCACATTTAAGACCTTTCATGAGCAGAATGGCTTTTCTTTGTAAAATGGTGGAAGGCAACTCATGCATTTTAATGCATCCTCAGACACCTTTCCAAAGAGTTGTAAATGTTTTTGGAAATGAATTGGGCTGGGAGTACAAGATATATAAAGAACAAAATGGAGGGAAAGACTTCTTGAGGCACATGCTTACATGACAGTCCTCACACACTGTGTTTTGCATAGATGGCTGTTTTGGAATTTATGGTTTATTGAATAAAGCACAGTCGGCTGGATTTGTAGAACTTGATAAGACAGAACTAAATACATAATGGTTTTTAGTGCAATGTATGAAATCTAATGTACTATTTCTTTACTGTAACTTTCTAACCACTTGGGGCTAACCATATATATGCCATGCCAGATGATATTGAGTACCATGAGGAAATCTTGATGCTATGTCATCAAGTATCCCTGCCATCTTAGCTGTGAACTTCCTGGCTGACATTTCCTGATGTTTGTGTGTGTGTGTGTGTGTGTGTGTGTGTGTGTGTGTTGTGTTCATTTTTTTAAAGTGATGGATTGGACTTATTTATCTAGAGTGAAGGAAAGCTAAGCCACCACCTTTTCTCTGGCATCTTTATTTTATTCCATACAACATTCATGTATTGAAGAAACTGTGTGAGGTCCCTGGTTAAAGCAGCTGCACTCTGCATCTATTCCTGCTTTCTGTTTAGGAAGGAAGCAAATTAAACCTTAAGCTAAATTCCCTTCCTTCTCCTCCATGCTGCATCGAGAGCCCAGGATGGGTTGACTTCTTCCTATGAGGTCATTTAGCTGAGTCTGTACTAAGATGTAAAAGCCAGCCCCCGGGAGATACCCCAGCTTTTGACTCAGCTCTTTTCAGTCAGTAGCTGTGTCTCTGAAAGCTTCTGTTAGATAACACTCACCAGCAATCTTCAGTGCCGTTTTTCCTCGTTTCAAGCAAGGTTGGGAGCAGCGTTGCCAGAGCGCCGTTCAGGCAAGTTGGGTAGTGTCTGTAGACCTGCCCTATGTCTACGGTTTGAGCGGTCGTAAAAAGTGATCGGCAAATCGATACCAGCGTCAGCCAGCTGATCGTGTGGCCAGAGGCTGCCCTTTCCTTTGCTGACTTCACTCGGGGCTCTTTATAGCCTAAGGAGAAATTCTTTGATCTCGGAGCCTGTTTCCCATAGTCAGTGGCCATCTTGGATTGAAGCCTTCCACCATGAGGTGAGTGGCCATTTTGTAAGCCCGGGGGCTAATTTATACCCTAAGGCAGGGGTCTCCAACCACCAGGCCACGGACCGGTCCCGGTCCGTGGAACATTTCCTACCGAACCGCTGGTTTGCTGGGCGCTGCCATCTTGTTTGATGAGAAAGTGCTTCCGGGTGAGCTTTTCCGGTTGGAAAGCGGCGTTTGGGTCCTGAAGGAATCCTCGCACCTTAGTTTCTACAACGTCAGTGCAGCCCTGGACAATGCCCTGGCAGTGCCTTCTGTTGACATTCCGGTCTGGCCTCGTTCCCATTTTCTGGCACTCTCACGTGGGCATCCATACGGTGGCTGCACCAACTCCAGATTAGATTGCCTACATCTGACCTTCGGTCTCACCAAGGCCTTAATAAGATTATCGCAACGGCGGAATTCACTGCGGATGCCACTCTCAATTCCACCAAATTTGCATCTAGGGCCATAGCATCTTCACTAGCAGCAAGAAGACTGTTATGACTCAGAAATTGGCAGGCGGAGAGATGCCGTAAATGGAAGCTGGTTTCAGTTCCATTCGCGGGCGATAAGCTTTTTGGCGATGCTCTGGAACCTTATCTCATCGAAACCAGAGATAAACGTAAAATTCTCTCTTCCTCTGGGAAGAGAGCCGACTATCGCCCAGCTCCTTATACTGGTAAACAGCCCTTTCGGGAGGGTGGGGGTCATTCCTGCCGTCGCTCTAAGTAATCCCTCGTTCTCCCCACCCATCAGAGGTTGCCTAGCCTTCTTTGCCTCCAAATGGGAGGAATCAACGGCGGATGCCTGCGTGCTCAGCACAATTAGGTCAGGATTACAATTGGACTTCCTAATGCACCCGCACCCCAAATTTGATCTGTCCTGTCTCTCGGGACATTTCAAGGCAAGACCTCATGAATCAGGCCATTCAACTCCTTCTTGAAATCCGAGCTATTCAAACCTGTTCCCCCCTCTCAATGGGAATGTGGGCTTTATTCTCACCTTTCATCGTTCACTCTAATGGTTCCTGCTTCCCTACCAATGCGCAGGAACCAGCCACTCATCCATCAAGGTCCCGCTCCCGCCACAAATCTGGAGATCTCTCAATTGGTGATGTTCCCATTAATCTGGAAGGGACTCCTTTTCAGGGCCCCAGACAGGCTAGTGATAACCACCGATGCCAGCCTCCTGGGTTGGGGTTCCCTTATGCAGGGCCAGATTGCTCAGGACCTTGGTCCAGGTCAGAGCAGGCCTTTCCCATAAATTGGCTAGAGCTCAGAGCCATTTTTCTAGCTCTCAAGCATTTCAGGCACTCAGTGACCAGCTCTCATGTTCTAGTCCTTATGGACAACATGGCCGCCATGGCTCATGTCAACCAGCAGGGGGGGATGGGGGATGAGGTCCAGAGCCCTCATGGGAGAGGCTCTACGGTTGGGGTTATGGGCAGAGCAACACCTGTTGTCGATCTTGGCGAACCACATCTCTGGGATCAACAACTCCCAGGCCGACTGGCTCAGTAGGAGCCTAGTCGACCAGGCAGAATGGTCTATTCCTCCTTCTCTATTCAGGGACCTTTCCCTCAGATTCAGAATGCCAGAGGTGGATCTTCTCCACTCCTCAAATTGCCCAGGTCACCAGATTCTTCACCAGGTTTCCTTGCCAGGGAGCGGAGGAGACCAATGCCCTTCGGTGCAGATGGCCCAAAAGTCTCCTCTATGCCTTTCCCCCGCTTCCCATCATTCCGGCAGTAATTCGGAAGATGTTGGAGGAACGAGTGGAGCTCCTCCTCCTAGCATCCTATTGGCCAAGGATGCCCTGGTTTGCAGATCTGGTCAACCTGTTGGTGGTTTCTCCTTGGAGGATCCCAGCCCATCTAATCTTCCTTCATCAGGGGATTCTGCTCCACCCGGAGCCCCAGTGGCTCAAGCTGACCATGTGGCACTTGAGTGGCAGCGGCTAGAGGTGGCTGATCTTCCTGAAAGGGTCATCATCACTATCCTGGCATCTCACAAACCTTCCACAAGGCGCATCTATGATGCCACCTGAAAGGCCCTTCCCAATGGTGCCTTAGGGAGGGTCTCTCTCTCCCACTTTAGCCCAGTTGGCAGAGGTTCTTAGATTCCTTCAGCATGATCTGGAGAAAGGTTTGGCCCCCAACACCTTAGGCAGGCAGGTTGAGGCCCTTTCCTCGGTTCTTTCATGGGGTTCGCTTCCTTCCTTATCCCATCAACCTTCAGTCAGGAGGTTTTCGAAAGGGGCTTCCAACCTGCACCCTCCGGTGGTTCACAGGTATTCTTCCTGGGATCTTCATGTGGTCCTTTATGCCCTTACAAAAACCCCTTTTGAACCCCTTAAAACATTGTCTCTCCGTTTCCTGACTCTGAAGGCAGTGTTCCCCGTTTCCATCACTTCAGCCAGGTGGGTATCCGAGCTTGCTGCACTTTCCATCAGATAGGACCTTTGTTCCTTTCATGATGATAGGGTTGTCCTCAGTCTGGACCCCTCATTTATTCCAAGGGTTAACACCTGTTTCACAGGTCCCAGGACATTATGTTGCCTGGCTTCTGCCCCCTCCTGCACCATGACTTAGAGCAGCAGTGGCACTCGCTAGACGTAGGTAGGGCTCTTAGAATATACATTAAGCGCACTTCCTCCTTCAGGAAGTCTGAAGCCATTTTGTTTCCTTTTCCCTTCTCACTTGGGGCACAAGGCCTCTTCTCCTACTATTAGCAGGTGGGTCAGATCTTGCATTGAGCAGGCCTACAAAGCTGCGGCCCTTCTGGTTCCTTGAGGTCTGATGGCGCACTCTACCAGAAACGCGGCCACTTTGGCTGCCTGGGTGACCCAAGCACCCTTGGAGGAGATCTGCCGTGTAGCCACGTGGACATCTCATCTCCTTTCATGAGATACTACTGTCTGGATGTCTTTGCCTCGGCAACTGCAGCCTTTGGCAGACGGGTGCTTCAACGAGTGGTTCAACAGTTGGTGTGATGAGCCGGACCAGGACCCACCTGTGGACATGCAAGCTTTGGTATGTCCCATCCTGGGCTCTCGATGCAGCATGGAGGAGAATGGGCGTTGGTAGAAGTTACCCTGAACGCCCTTTCTATCTATGCTGCGAGAGAGCCCAGCCCCTCCTTTGATTCGTCTGGAGAGGGTAAGTCATATTTCTGTATTCATTTGTGCTTTCAGAGACATCTTTCAGTCTGTCAAGTATCTTCGCCAAAGCTGGGGTCTCTTCCGGGGGCTGGCTTTTATATCTTAGTACAGACTCAGCTAAATGACATCATAGGAAGGAGTCAACTCATCCTGGGCTCTCTCGCAGCATAGATAGAAAGGGCGTTCTGGGTCACTTCTACCAACGCCCATTCCAAATTCAGTTGATATATCATCTGACTTTGTGCAGACCTTGGGTTAGCATAACCACAGTTTCATAAGCCTAACCACGGGGTAAAATTTATTGTTTCATGTAAACATTTTACTGAAATGTTGACATGGTCCCAGGCGCTGCAGAAATATGATATAGTTTTAGATTTTACTTGTATCTATATTTCTCATATTTATAGAGAAATCTATTTTCATGCCTTCTTATAGCTTATAGGTGGATTCATATAACTTGGTATATGTGATTTGCCTGTGATTTAGCATGTCATGGGAATTGAGCCACTAACCTTTGTAAGCAATGATTTAGCTGACTGTAGCTCAGCCAATTATGATTTATTCAGTAAACAATAGTAAAGCAAAGCACTGCATTCTAGGAATAAATCCTTATTTAAAATAATAATTGCTTCCAGATAAATCTCATTATTTTGTTTCATTCATAGAAGATTGCAGAGGATTCCAATAGAGATGTCTGTAAGAAGCCAGAATGACATCACTGGTGTCAACATGCGAATAATGTGAATTCTGTAATTGACGTCAGTTGTGTCTTTGATGCAAATTATATAATTCATGTCCTTTGTTCTATGATAATATGATGAGCATGATGTCATCTGCTCCCAACTACAGATGCCCATGGATTTTAGAAACGTTAGCCTTCCATTTGTAGTTCTGATATATTGCTCCATCTTTTACCTTTGCCCCTCTGGAGGAAAACTTAACTGAACGGTGCCTTCTAATCAGCCATGCTTTGAGCCATCTGCTTGGAAACATGTTTTTTCTAAATCGATTGCAGAATCTGAACAAGAGGTCCCAAAGGAAGTAAGGAACTTTGCTCTGTTATGATCATTGGATCAGAGGCCTTTGTCTTATGGTGCACATTTGTACTACATAAAATGTATTAGATTTGAATTTCTTTGGTCATACCATGTGTTTTCAATCCCATGGAAATTGGCCACTTTTCATTTTATAAAGCTGAAATCCATGCGAACAGTGTTTAATGTTTTTCTCTTCAATCCTTTTGATAGGGACACTTCTTCAAAGGGGTTACAACCCAGTAGTGGGAAAGAAATATTTTAAAAATTTAGAATAGCTTTTTAAATTCATGGGGGGTGTTAATTAAAAAAAGAACTTAAATACTAACTGGTACTGAAGATACTGAGCTAGATCTCGATTCCCTGGTCTTAGTGTTGGGCATGGCAATAGTGCAGCATGACACTCCTACGGTGGCTTCAGGTAGCTCATCTTCATCGGTCCATTCATTAAGGTCAGGGTTATAACACTGAATACATTTCTTGTATTTCTTTTCTATTTCATTCCAGCCTCCCACTAAGTAAATTCTTCCATTAAGATTAGAAGCACCAGCAGTGCTCACACCAGTGGGAAGAGGAGCAACATAATTCCACTGGCCAGAATATGGACTATAGCATTCAACAGGAAGCACATCAACTCTTTCCCCTCTGCCTCCTAGTTGGGATCCTCCCATCACGTAGACCTTTTCCCCTAGGGTAATGGCACAGTGCCATCCTCTCGGGGTGCTAAGGCTGGCCTTGTCTTGCCAGCTGTCACTAGTAGGGTCATACATGCAAACTGAGTGGGAGTAAGCATTATTGATGTAGCCTCCTGTGACCAAGATCCTACCATCTACTACTGCACTAGCATGGCAGCACCTGGGCATCTCCAGTGGAGTCTTCAGCTGCCACTGGTTAATTGTAGGGACATAACATTCAACCGAAGAGAGACACCCTTCTGAATTGCGACCCCCGACTGCAAAAAGGAGACCGTTGAACACATTCAGACTAAAATGAGTGCGCTTTTGATTCATATTGGCCAGATGTATCCAAGTGCTGAAGCGAGGATCGTACCTGAAAAAAATTAAGGAAATATTAATGCCACAGGAATGCCAGCTTCATTTACAGCTGTTATATTGTTAAAGCTTTATTTGCTGGCTTTATTTTTCAGTAGGTCACCTTGTCCGGGTTGCTGTGGCTGGATCACCTGGTGGGTCACCATTGCCACCTCGCCCTGGCTAGGTCACTGCTGCCGGCTCACCCTGGCCTACTGGACCCCGGATTAGTCACCCTGACCACCTGGACATGGGGACAACTCATAGCCATTGGACAATTTGAAGACAAAGTAGGGAAGGGAAGAGGCACTTCCCCTTCAGCAGAAGAAACATCAGCCCCGGCTAATGAAACGCAGGGATGGGAACACCTTCAGGAAGGGGAATTGCCACTGTGGGATGATTTGAACATGAAGCGGGGACAGAAAGAGGCATTCCCCACCAGAATAAATGTCACAGGGAGGGGAATCCTGTGTAGAGTACCATTCTCTTCCTTTCTTCCTATCAGCTGGGACTCATGTTTCTTCTGGTGGGGAGGGGAGGACATGCCTTTTCCTCTCCCCTCTTCATCCTCAAATTGTTCCACAGTGGCAAGCTGTCCCCATGTCCAGTTGGCCAGGGTGACTTGTTCTGCAAATCTACAGCTGGGGTGAGCCAGAAGTAGCAACCTGGTCAGGGTAAATTGGTGGCAGAGCAAACTGGCCATGGACACTGGGCCATAGCAAGTTGTCCTAGATTCCCCCCATGTCTCTTTCTCCTGTTTTCTCAGTTGAAATCCTCTCTAAAACATCTCATGCTCCATTTTTAAAGTTTCTTCTCTGATGGAAAAACACTTATAGGGACAAGAAGAGATGAGAATGAGAAGAGCTTTAACTATTTCCCAGATTGAGAGTATATTTTCCTTGTTTTTCAGTTGCTTCTTCTGATTTATTACACTTTAGTTTTTTCTTTTACTATCAAAAATCTTTTAAGAAGAAAAACATGAAATCCCACAATAACTTTGCAGAGTTGGCTAATGCACTTAGACCACCAATATATAGGTGCTAAAGTAGGAAAGAGTATTGAAAGAATGCTCTTCCCAAAAAAGAAAATAATTTTGATTGTTCAACATATCACAGAAATAGAAAGATAACAAACAATGATTTGACATTAGTTTTAAGAAATTATTAAGGAGTAAGAGTGATCACATTATACATGAACATGAGATAGTTACCCCTCTTTTGACTGAAGATTTGTATTTATAATAACACACAACTGCATTCATTATATGCCCATTCTAGTCTATTAATTCTATACTTAATAATTAAAAGAGATATACAAATAACAAACCAAAAGAGTGGCTTCAATAACCTTATTTTTGATTTATAAAATAGGTTTTTTGACCTTTTCACTGGTTTCTTGGAAGAGAGAAGCAGAAAATGAAAAGAAGCCAAGTTCTGGAATTCTACTTAAAGGTCAAGACTGTTAAAATTAAAGGGAAGGAATATAAAGTTGATTTGATGAAGGTTAAAATGTGTACATTATTGTTTCTGGTAACACTTAATGGACTGCTGTTGACCAGGACTGAATGATGAGACTTTAAAGATTTGTTGATACAAAAGAGAATATATATATTTTCAGCCTGTTCCAGGCAGTGGGGATCATTGCCACCAATTGCAATCGGCGGTGGCGATCAGCAATGATAGATGGCGATCAGTGGTGGTGATCGGTGGCAATAGGCGGAGGCAGTGGCAACGATCCTAACCATCTGGAAAGCGGAGGCCAAAAACAGTGTGTGCAGAGGCTGAAAATGGGACACGCAGAGGCCGAAAATGGAGTGTGTAGAGGCCAAAAACGGGATGTGCAGAGGCTGAAAATGGGGCACACAGAACCCTAAAACGGTCAAAGGTTGGGGGCCAGGAGGTGGGTGGAGCTTCAGCAATATTCACTCCATAAGACACACAGACATTTCCAGCCATTTTGGGGAGACAAAAAATTTGTCTTATGAAGCAAAAAATACAGTATATGTAGTATATATGTATATTATTTTTGAGAACCCTTGATGGACTTTTGCTGACTAGAATTGAATGATGAGGCTTTAGTAAATTGTTTATAGATAAGAGATGAGGTAATGGGAAGGTAGTGTTGCATTTTTCAGAGAAGGTCATAAATAATTTATATTGTTTGTACTTGCTGGGATGAAGGGGGAAGTTATTTCTTTTTCTTTTTCTTTATTATATTTGTTCTCTTTCTTTTTTCCTATTTTTTATTTGATTTTCTCCACTTTCTATCTTTTCATTCTTTTATACTTCTTAGTTTATATTATTTTTTTATCTTACTAATTGTAAATTTAATAAAAATACTATTTTAAAAAATGTTTCCAGGAAAACTGCACAGACTTGTTTCTATAATCACCAAGGGTCAGAACTGAATTGATGGACCATAACAACAATGACAAAGTTTTTGAAAGTAACAATTGAGTTGCAGGTCTGTCCGAATATCATTTGTTTGGATAAGACAATCTCAACATTATTCCAGAAATGTGTAATGTTTGTTTTTTAAAGTCTGCATTCTTTGTTCAGAAGAAGAAAAAACCTTTTAAAATGCTTATAAATAATTACTAGAACATTTACCAATTGTTATGCAAACTTAGAAAAGGAGAACTTTTGCACTAGCTTTTCTTCTTACAGAGTTCCTTCTAGAAAATTAGATGGGAATTTTCAAAAGGTGTGAAGCTAATAAATGAAAAGTTTCAGTGATACCAGTCAGCTACAGCATACTGAAGGAAGAAGTATAACCAATTTCAAATCAGTTCTTTGCATCACATCTCAAAAACTCAAAGCAAAATTTTGGAATGCTTTCCACCATTCTTCTATAGAGTGTGGCATCCTGCGTCTTACAGATTTTGAGTGTGATGCACAGATTCATTTTTAGAAAGTTCCTTATGTGCAGACAATCTACTCTCTAGACAGGATGACGTAGATAGACTGGCAGTTTCTCAGGACGTGCCAGAGACCAGACGTTGAAAGTTCTGCATGTAAATCCAAACTTCTAGTGCTGAGATATATAATTCTTCCCCAAATTTAAATGCGATTTCGGGGTGTGTATGATTAGGATGTGGCGAAGAGAAAAACTAACCATATATGATAGTACATGTTCTTCTTTGCTGCAAGACATATGTGGGAAATGGAACATATACATCTTTCCATTCCATAAGTAGTGAGCAGCATAATATATTTCTAGCACTGAAACTAAGTCACCTTGGCTGACTCTAGAAATTATTCTGAGTAATTTGGAAGAAGAACGGAGCATTATAATAATGAATCTGTTGTAATGAGTTAACACGGTGGGCTAAAATGCTGATGCTGTCATGAAGCTTACAAGATACTCTGGGCTGATCAGGATTACTCAGCTTCTCAGGATCAAGTGAGGATAAAATCTTGAAAGGGTAAATTGTGTGCATCATTCTTAGCTTTTTAGAATAATGTTTAGAGAGGAAATGCAGATAAACTGTTTAATATGATTGATCTACTAATATTTATTAATTTATTAATTTCCTACAGTCACATTCTGTCATTGACCTTTGATTCTCAAGAGGAACTCCAGGAGATGAAGCACCAGAAGAGATGCTAGAATGTCACTGGAGAAAGACAAAGAGCGAATCTGACTCAAGATAGGTAAGAGCCTTTATTACCTTACAGTGATAAGAATGGGAAAATTAGTTATACTTCTGCTCTTATATTGCATCTGCAGAGGATTATATGAGGCATGTATTGGACAATACTTTGAATTGGACTCTAGTTGTGTAAGTCTGGTAGTATTGACTGAGATACAGTCTGGCAAAAGACAGGGAAGAATCTCTCATACAGTACTACTAATATTTTCTCATCTGGGAAAACTTTGAGCTTCCTAGCCCCAAGAAAGTGGACAGGATCCTCAGACCAGTAACCAAGGTCACCTATATATTAGATCCATGTCAGTCCTGATTGGTCAAGGCTTCTAGGAGGTGACGTATATATAGAGCTAAGTGGTGATGAATTCATCCTTGAGGGAGGGGTGATTTTGTTTGCAATTTCTGGAGGCAATGGTCTACCCACCTCTCAAGAAGCTATTGCAAGGCCCAGTGGGGTTGGACAATTTCTGACCCATATTTAAACTTCCCTTGTTGAGAAGATTATTGAACTGCAGTTTCTGAGGGCTCAGGAAGTCACAGATTATCTAAATCTATTAGATTTCAGGCCTGGATAGAATGCCAAAACAGCATTGATTTTGTTTGTTGATAACTTGTTTTAGGTCCAGGATGGGAGTATCCTGGTGTTCTTCGAACTCTCAATGGCCTTTGGTCACATTGCTTGTGACGTTCTTCACGATTAGCTCATCAGTTTGAAAGGGAGAGGCACAGGTTACAATGGTAACAATGTACGGTTAGTATCATGTTAATTGAGGCAGGGGATGGGGCCGTCACAGCTTAGTCCTGAGCCTTTGCTTTGTAAGATGCCCGAGGGCTTGATTTTCTTCCTAACGCTGCTTAATATCTGTCATCATGGGGCTAGCTATCATCCGTACATTGATGAAACCCGGTGATATATCTCAATCCTTGCCACCCAAGTGATACTGTTGAAGTTGTCTCAGTGGAAGTTGCAAGGGTCTAGATGGGGAAAGCAGGCTCAGAAAAAAACATACAGTAGTAAGACTGAGTCACTTGGATCATCTGGATCTAGAAAGTTTCTATGTTCATTTCTAGAGGTGGTCCCAATGTGCCTAATAGAACCAGTGTACAATTTGCACAAATCCATCTTGTGCACAAAATCTGGATTGGGAGTTCTACTCATGACCGTCTCTAACTTTGTGCACCTACTTCACTAGCAGCACCGGTTACCAGTAGGCTCCTGGATGCAATTCAAGTTGCTGACATAGGGCTTAGTTATTTGTAAGACTGACTGTCTCTAACTATTTCTGCCTGCTCAGTAAGATCTGACCTGGTGGTCATATTCTGGGTCTTGACACGTAAGCAGGATATGTGTCTTCTCTATTACTGTACCTGTCTTATGTAACAACATCCCCCTGCATGCCCACCACCTCAAATCCGGACAGCTCTACTTTCCTTCTGAAAGGCTCTGCCTCTTAGACACTGGCTTGGGAATTTCTATGCCTACCACAACTGTAATTTTTTTCAGTTTTGGAAACGCCTCTTGTGCAGTAATATATAATAATTTAATGTATTTTGGTGAATATGTGATATTTTTAATACATTCTCCTTAATATCGATTAGGCAACTCTATGAATTGTTCAAATGTAACACTATACAGGGATAGTGTTTGCAGCATTCGGGAATTTTCTTCCAAGGCTGAAGTGAAACAGGGCAGCTGCATATGATCTCAGACTACTTTGCCCCAAAGCATAAAGGGGATCTGCAGACTTCTCCATGAAAAAAATAACATGCAAAATCATATCTCTTAGCATAAAATAGCACTAACTATTTTAATATGCATAACCCTATAAAAGGAGAGAGAGAGAGAGAGAGAGAGAGAGAGAGAGAGAGAGAGAGAGAGAGAGAGAGAGAGAGAGAAGGCTTCTCATCCAATTCCAGGATAACTCCTCTGGCCTGGTCATGTCCAGATGTATTGGATTATAATTCCCCTCCCCTTTTGCTGACTATTGCGAATGATAGTTGTAATCCAATCCATTAGGATATTACCAGGTTGAAAAAAGTAATTTTAAAGCAAAGAACCAAATTAATTTGCTATCTCTTGGAAGTAGGTATTTTCTCTTTCTTTCTCCTCCCTGCCACACATATACATATATTTCCCCTTCTCCTTTTTCTGGAGTTGTTGTGTCCATGCTATGCCTCCACTGCTATATATAATCAGTTACCTGCAAAAATTGCTGACTGCATGCTTTGCCTGATTTCTGGCATCATTCTGGTCTTCACCACCTGCTACATAGAGAAATCCATCCATCACGGTGACACACTGGTTAAAGCTTTTGGCAGGCATCTCTGTAAGCCTTTTCCACCCATTGTCAGGATCTCGGTATAAAATGTCTCTGCTAAGGGATTTTTCTGTTAAAGCTGGACGTCCCCCGACTGTAACTAGGACTCGTAATCCTCCTCGAATCCTGGTTCTTCTTGACTGCAGAGTATTCTGGTGGTAAGGAAGTAAGTGGTAATTCATGGCATCTACCAGAAGTCTGTGGCAATCCGTATCTAGCATCATTCTTGGTACAGTCTGAACATAATTCACCAGGTCCTGGGCAGAGATGGTGCCAAACCGAATGTTGCTCAAAAGATCTGCAGCATACTTAGTTCTTTTTTGGTCAAATTCCAGCCATCTCATTGCAATCTGGAATGCAATAAGTTCAGAAGGCAACTGCAAGTCATCATCTGCAAGAAGTTCGTTGATCTGTTCAAAAGTCAGCTTTAAGAAATGATCTGATTCAGAAAACTCAATGAAGTTGTCTCTAATGAATTTCTGTGATGCTTCCTTAGCAGTTTTCAGTCCATATGTCTCTGCAATGTTGGCAACATACATACAATTTTCTACATTGATTTCTTGCATGAGAAAGTCACTACACATCTTCACAAGGGTATGTATCTGAAGATAAATGGCTGTGGAGATGATACTACCTATAGTATACAGGGATAGTGTAAGTTTTCCAGTATAGGCGTATGCAATCACAGTGGCTAGGCCCAGTGGGGATACGTCATTGAGGTCCACTCTTTGAGTTGATGGATCTTTCTTTAGGATGCTATGGAAGTAATCACTGCATGATGCCATCACCACCTTGTGAACATCAAAGGACTTGGTTTTGGTACCAATTATTAAATCACAGAGAAAATTTTCCATCCTCATCCTGCACAAACCTTCCAAGAGGTTGGGACTATAGAAAGCATCAGAAACTTCTGTGGAAACACAACTGAAGCCGTTGCCTCCTTCTAGGAGGGTATTCAATCCATTGAGCTTGCTTAGTGGCCCATCCTCCACTATGATGGTTAATTCATTGATATCTGTCTTGTTCTTTTTGACATTCTTCTTCTTAGGCGCCATGACTGCAATACAATATCACAGCCAAGAGCTCGCTAAGAAAAACCCAGAACAAAGAAAAAAATAATTTGTACACCCATATTTAAACATCTTTCTACAACTGATCCCAAAGCTTTCTTATAAGGTATAAGCATGCCTCAAAAAAATGAAATATAAAAGAGCATGAGAATAATTACGAATAGATCTGCAGCATTTGGTTGGTATGCCCATGCGGTTAATTATCACTTGGTAAATCATAGTTTGTATTTTCAGGATGAAAGGAGAGCATTTTTGCAGGAGTCTCCCCAGATCTCAATCCTGAATGCTGAAATGGATTTTTATTCAATGTAACTTGTATATAAATACAAGTCCTCTTGGTTGTTAATCCAAGTAACTTTACTAATAACCCAGCCTCAAATCCCATAGAATTAATCTGTTAAAAGGAACATGTACAGAGCTCCCCCACTTTGCCATAGAAGTTACAGAACAAAGGTGGGCTGAGTCATAGGAATGTGAAGCCAGAGAGGCTTGATCCTGAGTCTTGCGCACATGTTTACATTACCTCTTCAGCTGTAAAGGTTGGAAAGGACTAACATCTCATGTTAATTTTCTAATAATTATTTGATCGCAAATTTGACTGGATTTTTTTCACATTGGTCTTCATTTCAGGCTAAATTGGCCCGGAGATCAGTGACTCCCATACAGTCCTAATTTGTTTGAAAACAAAACCGACTAAATTAAACTATGACTCTATTCCAAATTACCAGTGCCAGTTTGGTTATGGTGAAGGTGCTGGCCTACAAACAGGAGACTGTGAGTTCTTGTACCACCTTGGGCATGAAAGCTGGCAGGGGGACTTTGGGCCTATTACTCTCTATCAGCTCAACCTACCTCACAAAGCTGTTGTTGTTGAAAAAAATAGGAAGGAGTATTAGGCATGTCTGTTGCTTTGAGTTGATCAAATATTTTTAAAAATAGAATAAAAACCTAAAAACAACAACAATGTGGATGTTTGTTCATTAAAAATTATTTTTATCTTTCATATAAAAGGACAGATGGCTCTACTCCTTTCTTGATTGAAACCTATAGGAATGGAATTATTTTCCTCTAAAACATTGCTATTTGGATAAAGGCCTTGCAGCAGATGAGAGTAAGATAAATTGGTATTTTAATTGCTTTGGACTTCAACTCCTATCAGCCCTGGAAAGCATAACCAGTGGTGAAGAATTCTGGGGGCTATGATTTGAGAAAGGATATGATTGAGATATGTAAAACCATAGAAGGCAAAAAAATGTATACAGGTTTTTCTTTTGTCTATTATTCAAAATACTAGGATCAAGGCTCATCCAGTGAAGCTGATTGGAAGAATGTTGATCTGACCAACAGGACTATTCTTAGGTTTGAAGAACTAGATCAAACTAGCTAATTGCTTTTTGAATAAACACATGGGTTTCATTAGCAGGCCCTGATGACTATGTTTAAAGTTTAATGGATCATTCTACTTGAAGTAATGGAGGAATTAGTTCTCCATGTTAGAAGAGTTATTTGTCCTAGAATAACCTAGTTAATTTTCCATTGTGTTATATTCCATTACAAGCATCTTCTGAGTAGATGTCATTCTATTATTAAGTCTTGCCCTTGTGCAAATGGCATTTTTATGTTTCTATCCTATGCCCTCATATCTGGTTATGTATTAACATTTTGTTTGGTTGCTGCTTGACATTGTTTTAAGGAGAAAGTTAGAATAGTAATTAATAGATGAATTCTATGCCTGAGGTTACATATATTAGAAATGTATATACTATATGTAATCCTGAGTTATCTGGAATAAAGGTTCAGGCTTACATAGCTACAGCTTAAATGCCTCCCAGAACTCTGTTTTATCAGATGAATAATTTCATTTTTAATTTTGCATTCTCTTAAATAAAATGTTTCGAGTATAATATTATGTTCAAAGTTATTTCTGCAACTGATAAGCTAAATTAGGTTTATGTTATTTGCTGCTGGTGTGTAAGCTGTAAGTTTCCTAAAACGTCCATTGATTCGATCTGATTCCTGATTCTGATTTTGATCAGCTTTAATGATTATCTACGGCTTCCCCACTGTTTAGGGCTACTTAATTGCAGAATACAGAATAATAGAGTTGGAAGGGACCTTGCAGCCCTGCTCAAGCAAGAGCAGGGGTGGGATTCAACTGGTGTTACTACCAGTTCAGTGACTGCACGCGTGTGTAAAAAAACCTTAAACTGTGCTGCCCGGGCAGCTGAAAAGCACTGCGTGCAGGTGCACAGCGTTGGAAAAGTCTCTTCTTTCCCGCTTTTTCAACTGCAGCTATGCTGTGCAAAACAGCTGAGGCTGAAAAAGCAGGAAATAAAGAACAGTTAAGAGCCCGGGCAGGCGAGGTGGGCCAAAGAGCAGCAGACACAGAACCGGTTCTGTATCTGCTGCTCTTCAGAGCTACCGGTTCTATAGAGCCGAGCAGAACCGGTAGCATCCCACCCCTGAGCAAGGGACCCTGTACTGTTTCAGACAAATGGACGTCCAGTCTCTTCTTAGAAACCTCCAGTCATGGAGCACCCACAACTTCTGTTCCATTGATTAATTTGTTCTCAATGTCAGGAAATTTCTCCTTAATTCTAGTTTGGATGTCTCTTTGATAAATTTTCATCCATTACTTCTTGTCTTGCCCTCAGGTGAGCATAATGAACTTCTCATTTTGTTTCATTGTCCTAGTGGAACAACATCATAAAATTACACTGAGATTTCCCAGTAATGGAAATGCTGGCATGGGAATTTGGGGAGTTGATCCAAACTTTTGAAGGGTGCTCAGTTTCAGGAAGACTGATTTACATTCATTTCTAATTGCTGTTATGAGCAATATCTTGAAATAGTTTACAATAAAAATAATTAAAATATAAACATGATTTCCAACTACTATTAAAATATAGTGTTTTCACACATTTGATGGATGTTAATTGGATTTTTATTTTAAATGGGCCCATGTTTCCAGTTTAGTTTTCTATCCCATTGTGAGAAGCACAAAAAACTTCATTCGGAAAACAGCCACCATCTCTCCAACAGACAATCCAGTATGTAAACCTTAGGAAACCAAATATAGAGACTCTACAATCTTCTCGTTTTCATATTTCATTTTGGTGTTCAGTCAGTTACAGACTGAAACACCTGTCTGTAATGTTCTACAGGGAAATTGCAAAATTTTGGACAAGGTCTGAGTTCAAATCTCCATTCAGGTATGAATCGCCCTGAATGGTCACAGGCCAATCACTCTCACAATCAGAGTAGTTTATTCTAGAAAAAGGACAAGAAATATCTTCCTGAGGAAATCTTGGAGTTCTATAAGCACCAAATATTTATTTATTTTATTTATTTGATTTGTCAATCGCTTACAAGGTAATAGGTATAAGTATAAACATGAGTAAGAATACAGGAAATAGGTATAAATAAATGGGGACAATAGGACAGGGACGGGAGGCACGATGGTGCACATGCATTTTATTTATTATTTTATTTTAAAAATAAATAAGTAACTGGTGAAATATAAAAGCAAATAGCATCGAAGTACCTACATAAGCACTTACATGTTGCAAGGAGGCATAGTGCCACAATGGTAAATATAAAATTGTTATCTTATCTCCTGGAAAACAATCTCTAATGCAGTATTTCTCTCTTCTCAAGGATTTCACACTTAAGTCTTCAAACATGCCCCATTAAGCATTTTATCCATCCAAATGAAGAATTAAACTCTTTGGGAGGAGCATAGCTGCTCTCATAACTCCTCCCAAAGAACAGCTATGCAGGCACAAGGGAGAGAGCTATCTGTGTTCAAAGTGTCAAAGTTGCTCGCATTCCAAAAGGATCTGAGATCCCCCTTCCCAAGCATTACCAAAGCAGTGGGTTAGTTGCTCCTCCCCCCTCCCTTATCTCCCCTCCCCAGCCACATTCTTCAGGCTGCATCTGTTGAAATCTGTCAGGGCTATTTCCAAGAATAGCCATGCTCCCTGGCCTTTAAATGACTTGCCATTTTAAGACACATTCAGTTTAAAATGTCTGCCTTTCTTCAGGACAGAGTTCCTTTTTTTGCCCAGGTTCTTACAATAGGGAGTATGCTTAATTAAAAAAAAAGTTAGATTAAGTCACTCTGATAGGATGACATGCTTAACATACATTGGATAGTGTCCATTTAAATTTCCTCTCCTATTTTGCTAAGCCGGTATTCCTTTAAATGTTAAAATATTCCCATCTTCATTTCTTTAACAACATATCAAAGAGGCTATTATTTTCACTTAAAGAAAACCCAAGTTAATCATATTTTTAAAAGGTAGCCTTTCATTGATTAAGTCATTCCACGGGGGACAAATGCTGGATTTTTGAAATCAATCAGCCAAAGGAGAGGAATTTCATCCAAATTAAATTGCATACACTCTGTAGGAAGAAATATAATTACAGAAAAATTATCTCTAACTTGATTTACTAAGGACTCTTCACACATATAACCGATCGTATTCTGTTCATAGCTTGCAGTCTTCATGTCAGGTTCATGTCAAATGAGACTTGGGCTATAAACACAGGCAGGAAAAAACCCTCTTTATGAACGCTAATTAAAGCCAGACTCAAAAATAATAGGATTAGGTTGTCCTTACCCTTTTTCAGGAAAGAGGCTTCCCAGCACAGTATCTATGAGAATATCTTGTGAAAAGAAAAAAAGAGGGGGAAGAAGGAATGGAAGTCCAGATGTCACCTGCTTGGTTCTACCAATGGAAGATTTTAGTGTGACCTGCTGCCACCGAGGAGAAGAGAGACTGGAGTTTGCGCTTTAGGGCACTTTAAAAATGACCCCTCCTCCCATCCCTCCCTGTCACTCGGAGGAGCTTATGTTTCCTGTGCCTGCCTGGTTTTGAATCTCAAGTAAATTTTACTGGGCTTCTTCATGGCAAATGAAGCAGAACAAGAGGTAAGCAACAGGAAAGCTATGCTTCCCATTGCAGTTGTTTCACACCTGCAACTGTGAACCAGTTTATAGGATCATTAAGTTTTTCTTTAATCTTCATCCCATCCTTTGAGAAAAATGAAATTTGGTAGTTTAGCATTTTCTCTCCCTTTCTTCAAACTTCATAAACACAAGAACAACAGCTGGGAAGAACTCTCTCCTCCCCCCGCCCCCCCCAGAGAACAGCTTCTTTGTTCTTGATGGACGGTGGCTTGTCCATCTAGCAAGGTTATGTCTATTTTGACTGGTAGGGGCTCTTCAATTTCCCATCAGTCTGGCACCATCTGAGTCTCTTGTTTTAACTGGAAATGCTAGAAATTAAATCTAGAGCAGGGTGTTAAACTCGTGGCCCGCGGGCTGGAAGTGTCATGGCTGGCCGTGCCCACACTTGGTTTAGTAAAGGGGAAAAAAGTTGCAATATGTCACATGACGACGCCCTGATCTAGACCTTCTTGATGCAGAGCTGATGGTCTGGTATCAAACAATGGTGTACTTTCCCACTGAACCTACTGGGATGTTATTCTTAACAACCCATGCATGGGCAAGTGCTGTCAATGTGCCAGCTTGTAAGTTTTGCAGAATCAGTATGTGATGCTTTATTATATCTTCCTGTTAAGCAACCTGTTACCTGCAAAACGTTTTCCTTGTCACAAAGAGCCAGATAAAAGAGGAAGAACATCAGAAATTCTAATGCAAACTCTGTATCTCTTCCTTAATCTCTTACATAATATGAATAGCCTTGGGCAAATAAACTATGCAACAAAGTACAAAATCTAGTCACACCTTGTGGAAAACAGCAGTAACATCCCAATGTCTGTTTATTCAGCAGTAAATTCAGCAGTAAATTCAGTGACATCTACTTGAAACTCCACAAACTTTGCAGTATCAGCTGAAATTGTATTAATATCTATAATTATAAATATATAGGGAAGAGGACTGGTCTTGCTCTGACAGCTGCCATGAAGTGAAAAAACCACCAAACTGTTTTATTTTCCTCTTCAGCTGTTAACTCATTAATAGCAGCATCATCATAAAAATACAGTCTATAAAATAATACAAGCATCTCCTTTTCAGGATGTGTGTTCCATTAACTTCCACACACATCTCCTGCTTATAGATACAACCTTCTTTTGTCCTTGTCATTTCTGAAAGACACATTTACTTAATGTAGACTCTTATCTGTATATTTGGATGTACTTCATCTTGTTCTGACTTATTTTATATATTTATTCATTTAACTATGACAAATGAAGCTTGCAAAATTCTCATCATCATACACAGAAAGTAAACTATTAAAAAGTGGTTTACCCACAAGTAAAACCTGTGGGAAGAGGAGTGTTTCCACGCCCTGGTAGAATATTATTTTATATATTTATTATTTTAATATTTAAAAATATAATTTTAATATTTTATAGAATATTATTTTATATATTTGTTCATTTAACTATGACAAATGAAGCTTGAAAAATTCTCATTGTCATACACAGAAAGTAAACTATTAATAAGTGGTTTACCCACAAGAAAAACCTGTGGGAAGAGGAGTGTTTCCACGCCCTGGTAGAATATCACTGGGGTAGTGGTTAAATGAACTTCTTTTGCTAAAAAAATGATCTATTTATTTATCACATTTACATAGCTCATAGTACAACTCATCTATGTGACTCTGGACAGCAGACCCAATTTAAACAAACCAGCTACAACTAAATAAGAAGACTATTTAAAAAAACTGTCTACCTATCTATGTATCAGTCTGTCTGTCTGTCTCTGTCTGTCTATTACTGTAGAATTTATGTGGCTGCCCATTCATTGTCAGTGGCTCTGGGCAGCTTACAAAAATAAAAACAAGATACAAACAACATACAAACAATAAAAGCAATAACCCCTCACTCCCTGATGTCAACAATCAATATAGACAAAACATTGGGAGAATGCATCCAAAACTTAATGGACATTTCTTTAGCTCCCTATTTCCATAGGATTCCCAAGTCTGCTGACAAAGCTAAGTTTTAAGCAATTCCCAGAAGGTCAATGGGATTAGAGCCAATCTACCTCAGGGGAATGAGGTTCTAAAGGACAAGGTGCCATGGGAGAGAAAGCTCTCGTTCCATCAGATGAAACTCCTTAGCAAATGGGATCCATAACATGCCTCTCCTGCCAGATTTGGGGGATGAGGAGATGTTTTTGAGATTGTTAAGTTGAAAGATGGGTAATGGAAATGGCCAGTGGATCCAAGCAAATTATTATTAATCGCCTTGATATAAGAATTGGAACAGGAGACAAACCTGGTACATCCCATATTCTCTTTCCACATTTATTTATTCAACTGGTACCATGAGTGGAGAAAAGGCAAGCTATGTAATGTCTCAATGCTCATATCTGCAAATTATCAAGAGAGGAGAAAAGGAATGCCTATATATAATCAGTAGTATGCATTTGGGTGTTGTTTGCAGTTAACTTCCTGACTACATGGGTCAGCTTTCTGTCATGTGAATGAATGCCTTTGAGATGCATGAACTTCGATTTCCACAATTCCCAGCAAGAGTGGATAGCAAGGAAATTCTGTAACTTTGAGTTGAAACAACTGGAGGGTGCCATCCCTCAACCTGAAGAAGGCTAGCACATGACTGCATGATGTGCCTATGCTCTTGTCACAAGTTTCTTTAAATATATGCAACAGAAGGTAGATTCATTTACCAACATTATGGTAAATTTATGTTTATTATTTATGTATGCATATTTGAAGAAAGTCTTAATGACACTGTAAAAGATTCATCTTGATTTTCCAGACAATTTCCCTTTGAACATAAGGGAATGTGTCTACCCTCCACTTGTTTTGCAATCCAGTATCTAGTTATGAAAATATTTTGCTGAAAGCAATCAAAGAGATGGACTTGTTTACGATCAGGTTGTTGGCAATTTTTCGGGCATATGCCAGTGCCTACTGAGTGGCTACAGAAACCACAGGGATATGAGCATGAGGTTTCATGATAGCCAAGAATGTGTACCGGCACTTAAGTAGATCTTGGCAATACCTCATCATTCACAGGGCAATGCAGGTCAAGTGCAACGTGACTTCAAATGATGGCTGTTCTGAGAAACTCAGAATCGCTTACTCACAGCCATTACTACAAGTTAAGTTGAATTTCCATGGGAAGTGATTCCTGAAGATATACAAATAAAATACCCTTAGTGTCAACATTAACCAACTGTGTTACGAACTGAGGGGATAGACAATCCTCTAACTTTTACCATATGTGATCTCAAGAGTAAGAGAATGACACTATTTGGCAAGAAACTGCCCATTTGGCTCAATATTTATCCCCCTCTCATGTCTATTGGGAGATATAAACTTCTTTTCCTTCTTAGAATTGGGCTTGATACTCTTGTTTGCTTTTGAAAGTCTCCAGGGGATTTAATAAATATTGCACATGGACTTTGGGTAGAATTGTGTTGGCCACATCTCAAAAATGGTATTAGTGTGCTGTTAAAAACAAAACAGATGATTAGAAAGATGATACCACTTTCTCTCAGGAAAAGTTACAATGGTAGCATGAAATTGAATTATGATAATCCTGTTTAAATAGAATCCTCACTCAACTAAAAAAATAGGTAAGAGAGGATCCAAATGTGTTGTTTGCTACAAAAAATAGAGTCACCCGGAGACTAATTTTGTAAGAATTAATCTTTTGCTTTGACTATTATAAGATCTGTCTTGACATAGCCCTACAAAGCCTTGGTCTACAGCAGGGGTGTCCAACATGCTGGGTGATGGATTCTGGGAGTTGAAGTTCACAGGTCTTAAAATTGCCAAGGTTGGACATCCTGCTCTACAGGATCCTAAATCTTCTCCAGCCCACTCCCATATTTCCCCAGAGGTGTAGATATTTAGACCATTGCTGTCCATCATGGCCTAAACTGAGTAAGAAAAACATAATAAGATTTTTCTTACTCACTTATATTTAGACTAGATATTAAGATGGGCTATTTTAATTTTATCTATGTTGTTTTTCCCTACTCGTATCTGCTATAATTTAGCCAGAAGTAATTTAATTTTAATTTAGTATTTAGATTAGATATCTTACATGCTTGGAAGATATAAATACAGGAATTTGTATATTGCCTGTAAACATTATAATCAGAGGTGGTATTCAGTAGGTTCTGACCAGTTCTGGAGAACCGGTAGTGGAAATTTTGAGTAGTTCGGAGAACCGGCAAATACCACTTCTGACTGGCCCCACCCCCCATCTATTCTCTGTCTCCCGTGTCCCAGCTGATCGGCTGGGTCTTCTTTTGCTTCCCTGCACAGGAGAATGGAGCTGGAAAGCAGGTTAGTGGGGTGGGGAGGGAATGGAGATTTTACAGTATCCTTTCCCTGTCATGCCCACCAAGCGAAACCACGCCCACCAAGCCATTCCCAGAGAACTGTTAGTAAAAATGTTTTAATCCCACCACTGATTATAACGTTAGGAAAGAATGTGCTATAGAATGGGAGTTTAAATAAACACAAACACGATTTAAAAGTCATAATGTCTAGATGATGCGAGTCTGTCCTGGACTCCCATCCTGCAGAAATATTTCAGGTGCCCACACAACCCAGCAACACTTGAAAAATATTTGGAGGAAACTGGTCCACAAAATGGTGGTGTTTGTTTTCTTGTTTGTGGAATTTGCATCCAAAGTATTCAGTTATAATTGCAGCAGCCCTGTACATTATTTGGTTTGTTTCTTGCAGTAAGCTGGTGCTTATGTTTGATATTTTAATATTGGCATCTTTTAATACTTGTG